CCTGCAGTGTCAGCTGATACACCTTATATAAGAGCTCAACAGGAAAGCCAGCATACCTAGAGCCTGTGTGAATAAAAATAACCTTGGATCAGAAGGTGGAGGCAGGAAATGGTTAGCAGGAATTAGCTATAGAGAGGATAGAGAAGTCAGGATTAGGGACAGAGAGATCTAACACCAGGAATAGGGACAGAGAGATGTAACTCAATGAGTAGGGGCTGGGATAGAGATTCGGGTCATATACTTTGGGACAAGTGGAGAGACGCTTTACTTATTGGGAATTGGTCCAAGTAGGAAGGTCAGCTGGTTGCTTCTCAGCCTCTCAGAATTTTCAGGTTTCCACCCTATGACTGACTCCCAATTCTTTATTGGTAAATAGAAAAATAGAATCTTAATTAAACCTACATTTTGCGGCTACAGACAACCTGGTGACAACAGGACCAGATATCATGCTAGGCCTAGGTCTGAGAAGTGGGGGCCAAGTGTGCATTCTTTGGTCACCAATGGTAGTTAAAATATCAGTAGATTTGGGAGTGGCTGATAAACCAACAGAAAAGCAACTAAGGAGCATTTTTTCAATTAGGAAAGTGAATTCAGAAGGACCAGCAGTTCAAGTCATCTTAGGCTACTCAGTGGTCTTGAGGCCCGCCTGTACTACAGGAGACCCTGTCTCACCAAAACAAAAAGCAAAAGCAAAGAGCAGAAGATCAAGGACTGCTTTGGTTTTGTACATATTCAAGGTCCTCAATGTTATAAAATGACATTTGCTGTGAGATACAGCTGATGGACACAAGCTTGTGTGACATCAATAACTGAGTTGGCAGGGCTGTCATCAGCCTTTTCCTTGTTCTTGAAGCAAAGCTGCTGTTGCCTCCCATCAGAATTCTAACATCAAGTAATAAAATGTCCAATGACTGATTTTGGAGTTCAAACTTCAAGCTGGACATCAGGAAAAAAGTCAGGTGGCCACCAGCTTCTCACCTCTTCATCAGGCTGAATGGACTGATCCTCTCTCCATGAGCTCTCACCAAGCCCCTGACTGTTAGTGGGGCTGAAGAATGAATGCCTCATATTGATTACATGTTCCTGTCTTTTATAAACCTCTAGCACTGGGATTAAATGTGTGAGCCATAATTCCCTTTTACTGATTCAATCTTGTGTAGATCTCGGTGGCCTTGAAATCTCAAAGATCCTTCTACCTATTAATCCTTAGTCCCAGGATTAAGATTGTGTAGCACCACCTCCTAGCTTCTGGCTGCTGGGATTAAAGGTGTGTATGACCACTACCTGATCTGTATAGCTTGAAGCTATACACAGAAGTCATCTGTTTAACAGATTAAATGAACCTCACAGGACCCAACCAGAACCAGCCATGAAATATAAACCACAGAAACTGGACAGGCCTTTACAACAGGTCAAGCAGGTTGTTTTCTGTCAGTAAGACTTTCACACCACTGAAGGTATCGAGTGTGTACACATTCCAGACAAAAGCACTGCTTACAATTCTAGCAAGCTGCATCACCACATGGTGAAAGGGAGACATGGGCACTGTCCAGCAATAGGCAACAGAGCCCTACTTGCCATTTCTCTTTCATATATGACTTTTTAAAAGAGACAGAGGATAGAGACTCCATCATCCTCAGTACCTGGGGAAACCAGGAAGGAAGCTGAAGGACTTCAGTGTTGGACAATGAAGTTCCTTCAACCTAGTGCTTCTCCACAAAGGATGAGGTGGTGGTAAATGCCTTTAATACCAGTACTTGAGAGGCAGAGGAAGGTGTATCTCTCTGAAATCCAGGCCAGCCTGGATTACACAGAGAGTTCCAAGACAGCCAGAACTACAAAGAGAAAACTTCTATGGGAAAACAAAAGAAGAAAGAAAAGATAAATAGGAGTTTTGTTAAACTCCAGCTTGGGAAGATCAGGAACTCGCTCTGTGTGTGTGTGTGTGTGTGTGTGTGTGTGTGTGTGTGTGTGTGCGCGCCCTTCTGGGCAGATGACTCCAACACTAGGTGGTTTTTCTTCCTGGACTTGTTCTCTGAGGTCTATGAGCCCCAGAATGGATCTTTTGCTTCAAAATCATTATAATTTCCACCCCCTGAGCATGATAACAAACTAGC